GCAGGTTACTCCTAAAAGTTGGAAATGTCCAGGAAAATTAATTAGGCTTTACATTTAGCAATGAGAGAATCTTTAAAAAATGTTTCTTTAAGAAGTGATTAGAAATCTGGAAATTAAGGCTCATTGATAGGTTCATTGTTAGTCTCAGTGCTAGAGCTCTGACTATAGAAGAAGACTTTAGGGAAACACTTTCCCAGAGGTCATTAACATTTCACCTCATCTCTTGAAATAGGCATTAGAAGAAGTAGATAAAGGAGCATTTCTTACAAAAGATTCTGTGACATGGTAGGTTCAGTGAGAGACAGAAGCAGGAGCAATGAAGACTGAGTTTTACCAGTGGTCTAGCCTTTGGGATCAGAGACTTTCTTGCTCTGATTATTCATAAGGCAATTTCCAAGGTGGCTTTCTTTATTTTGATTAGATGATCTCAGATTATCTCAAGAGGAGATAGAAAAATCCAGCAAAACACAAGTCTTGGAAAATACTGGTGAGCTTTTTTTTTTTTCTTTCTTTCTTCTAAAATCATTTTATTTATATAGAAGGTTTGTGGACAGTGACAATTCAAGATGCTATTTTGAGTGCCTTTAATATGTTTGCAAGTCACTATATCTGAGATAAAGGAAGTATGTAATTGTTAAGATGTTGATAATAAGACAATAATATATATCTCTTCATGACTGTGAGATGAATATGACCTAAGAAATTGTCAAACAAGACTTTTATCATTTCAAAAGGTTTAGGGGTCATGTTTTAAATACATATAAAGGGGAGAGAGGAATGCTTTGAGATGGATATTGATCCAAGGACAAAGCAGGACTTCTCTAGGACATTGTGGTATGGACGATGGCTGCACAATTAGCTCTGATGTATGCACAAATTTTTTGGTGCATAAGATTTAAATAATATAATCCACACTTGTGGTAAACTGCTATGCTTTGAGCTCCCTTAAATCAGCCTCTCACAAGGAGAATAGTCATGTTACTATTTTTCAAACAAGTGGAAAAAGCAAAGAATATCCAACATGCAAAACCAGGT